ACCCTCATCCTCATTGTCGCCGCTGTCATCAGGATTCCCATCATTGCTGTTTGTGTTGCAGGGGTCTTCTTCAGATGCTGGGATATATTCACTTTCCAGGTCAGGAATGGATTCTGACAGAGTCATCTGTGGCACAGTCCTCCTGAAAGAACAAGCAGATTAGAATAGTAGTTATTCAAATAATGAACCTATAAAGTTTTGCAGTTGGGCTGCATTGCTGTAGCCCACAACAAAATAAAAAGCATAAATATATATGTACATACCAATTCCTCTTGTGCCTTCCTTTTTCTGTTCATCATCTGTAATGTTCAGAGTAAATTTGAAACTTAGACAATGTTACAGAAAAACCGTTACAAATAAAGCACAGATCAGCTTTATTTTCCTGCATAAAGTTGACATATCTTCAAAGACAATTTAAATAGTTTTAACTTGTGAGCCTCTATTTAAAAAAATAACTCAAGGCAAACATTAGTTTAATAACTTCACAAATATTAACGCTGGAGAATGAGCCAGAGGACTAAACCAGAATTTACTTTCAAACCAAAACAACTAACTAGTTTCATAAATCTTACCTGGACAATTTGCAGTTGTTTTTTTTTTTCATGGTCTAATTCAGCTTTCATGGTTCTCTCCTCGTCATATCTCTCAGCACACCGATTGTGCTACCGCAGTCTCCGCAGTGTTGAGGTATGCATTTAATGCAACATTAGCTGAAGGTGAGGATCAAGCTCCAAGTGTTATAAATATTGCTTGATTCCCGCCCATTTCTAAGCTGCCCTGTCTGCACCCTTTTAGAGACACAGGCAGTATTGCATGAATTCAGCTTAAGCAGTATTTAATCAGAGCCTGATAATTTTAGAGCACAAGCTGGCACACATTTTTCTGACTTTAATCTCTGTATGTGTACATCTTCTGAAACTTAGACAGATCATTCTTTAGGATGAAAGGAGCCTATCCTAGTATTTTCCTTGTGTGGACCACCCAAAAGGTCCACACAAGAAAGGTTGTCCACACAAAAAAGATGTTCCATCAGGGGCTGGTTTGCACAAGTATATAAAGACAAACTCACACATGCTGCTCTGTCACTGTGTACAACAACACAAATAAGCAGTAGAGTGACTAGATTTCACTGACTGACATGACTGATTTGCTGTAACAGAGGGGTTTCCTCTGCACAATAAGCAATAATTCTGTTTTACACTATTCAATCACATTACACCTAATGTTGCAGCAGAGTATTACGCCATGGCAGCAAACAACATGCTGCCAGGTTAAGCTGGTGACAGCAGGACAAAGACACAAAGAGTTGTGGATGTTTAAACATTTTCAGGACGAAAAAGGTAAAACTGGGACAAAAATGTTTCCTAGCAAATTGTATCAGCGGTGTGTGTGTGTGTGTGTGTGTGTGTGCCCTGCAGAAGCTGGCACTGGTTTTATAACCAGATGGCCGCACAAGGACTAGAACCACAAACATAGAAAGATCTAAGCCACCTGTGTGTGTGTGTGAGAGAGAGAGAGAGAGCCTCATTTGTGGTATTTCTGCATGTGTTTATCGTCTGTGTTGTATGTTCTAGTTTATGGAACTGGTGTTGGTGAGTGTATTCATGTGCTGTGCTGTTCTGTGTGTGTGTGTGTGTGTGTGTGTGTGTGTGTGTGTGTGACTGGCCAGCAGCTCTGTGCACACACCACCTCAAACTGCCATCTATAACAGAGATTCCCAGTTTTGGGGAATGCCAGAGCATGGTTGTGTGCTACAGCAATGTACTATGGATGTTCACAAAAATGTAACTTCCCAATAAATGGCTTCAAAGACAAATAAGCTTTTGGTCAGCTCTGTTTTATAGCATCACATATTTATTCTGACCTTTGACCTCGAGGATAAACAGACTGGATAAATTCATAAGCTCTCCCAAAAGATAACGTCATTTTTCTGGGGTTATAGTCACTCAGCCAGGGCCTCTATTACAGTGACACGGTTTGATTATATAACAGGGTAGACCCCCCATAAGGTTATATATGGAAGGAGTAGGTAGCTCCTTGAACCATGGCCTTTGCTTTTGTTGTTTGGAAAACACATTTGGGAATTTAGTGGTTTCACCTTAATAAAAAAAGTGCTATGTGCTTCTATGTTTAGACACTGATGCTTTTTATTTTGTGCCATGCACAGTGTCAACCAGGAATACTCTCCTCTGTATCAATGAAGGAGCACCTGGCTTCCTCTCCACCCCTGACAGTAAATGCCACAAGCTTGTCTGATTGTCTTACTTTACTATTATTGATTTTATGTAATGATTTCTAAAACATTTTCTGCCAGAATAAAATGTCCTCGGAAAAAATTTACACATTTGGTAAATAAAATTAAATGAAATGAACTGGGCCGTGTGTATTATACATTTATTGTTGTTAAAAGAACTGCAAAAATCCACACCAAGACGGTCACCCTGCTTACAGTTACACCTGGCAACACAACCTGACCTTAAAACCTCCGTTTCTAAAATTCATTGACAAAGAGCTAGATGATGACATAATGACTTCATCAGTGTGATCAATAACCTCGGTGAGTAGCTGCTTAAGCAGACGTCAGGTTAAACTCTCCCAGGGCAATATGTTATTGATTAGGCAAAAGCGCGCGCGCAAACACGCACAGTGAACACCTACACATTCCCACCACCTTGTACACACTTGCGACACAGTCACACATGTTCTTACCATTAGTTTGTCCACTCATGATGCCAGAGTTTGTATCAGACACTTCATTTAGGCTCCCAGCGCCGGGACAGACGCTTCAAATATGACCATGCGCTCCTGTCAAGTCTCTATAGCCCTGTCCGACTTAAAACTCTCCCTCCCTCTAGTCTGGATAGGGTCTCCCTTCTCCTACCGCCAAGCGGATTACACTGCCAGGCGGCGGACCTCTGTATCCCTTCACCCTGCGTAAAGGCAGTTGGTTGAGAAATTAAGCAGGAACTGATGGACCATCCTCCTCCTCACGTCTTCAGCTTCTGCCTCTCCCACCCATCAAACCCCAGCGGCCCTCTGACTCAGACGCGTCCATACCCTCTCAACAGTCAGTGCGCTCCCGTCAACGCCTGCATGTTTGTGCGTCCCGTTGTGGATGCTGAAATGCTGGATCGTGAGTTTTCACAGGCTCGTTGCTGTCAGTGTCTTTCGCCGGCCAGGGCGACTCCTTTCACGGTGCCAGCGCGCCGAACAGCGTCTGATCTCCGCACTGCCGGTGGGAAAACACCAGCCAAAGGAGTACAGCAGTAATGTGAGACTCTAACAAATAAACTCGCCTTTATGATGAGAACTTTAAGGTGTTGCACTCTTCATGAGCAGGAAAAACAGGCCTTTTACACAGCAAACATTTTGACTGGCCATAGCAGGAACAGCACAGGTGATAACATCAGTGTTGGTCCTGTTACATTCATGTGTCCCAGTGAGCCACGACAGTGTGACAAGGAGCCAGACACTGAAGCAGCTAAATACAATTCAGCCATCATCAATTTTATTATTTACACCCGTGCTTTTCCAACTGTGACGTCACAGAGTCAGTATGTTATCTGCAAAACAGCACCCTGCTGTGACTGTTGGTCTCCAGATGTTCACACCTGTTTCCATTTGATTTATCCAGGAGTTATAGATGGACAGAAGGATAAATAGGTATAAAGTAACTGAACAGACCAAAGTTAAGCAAAGCAATATGAGGCCATTAGCTGTAGCTACAAAGAAACACCAAAAGGTGGCAGTGTATGTTTGAACAATATTTCTGAAGGCAGTGTGCTGTCCATAGAAGCGATGTGGAAGTATTATATTGTCCCTTTGGTGAAAAGCCAAAATGATAGCTATATAAGAAACCTCTGACTGAACCACACACCTGATCAATGGTTGCATGAGATGTTTTTGTGGTGGTGTCACGAGCACTGGAAATGAATCACCACCAGTGATTGGCATAATTAAAATTAGTACTGTAATATTTTGATGTAAATGAATAGATGTTTTTTGTTCAAACATTTTATTCTTTTCAACATATTAAACAGATGTCATATTGGTTTTATGTTTTGTTATAATTACCACATTATATATTGTCTTTCTGTTAAACATAGTTACACCTGTTTGAACAGTTTGAGGTATGACTTGATCTTGCGTGCATGAGGCAACCCTCCAACAGAAAAACATGTTTATACAGTTACCTTTCAGTCTGTCCTGACTCACTTCCTTGTAATTGAAAACAATGCACAGGATACTTCCTGCGAACCAACCACCGGCGCTTCCTAATGCCTCCTGCTAATGTTTGTGAACACGAAAGGAAGCATTTAACCACAGGTTTGCTGCAAAACAAAAAACTCCACATTTGAGCAGTGAAAATAAAGCTGCAAAATATTTCAGAACAAAACCAATCAGACTCTGGCCTGTGATGTGTGTCGTGGCTGGAAGCTCCTTTTCTTATGAACATGCGCTACTGTAGGTTTCAACCTGATCCAAAATTATAATGTCGGTGCTTGACCCTTGGCTGATGTCTTCACTAGGAAGTTGATGGAGGTGAGATAGACAGTAAGTCACCCAGGGCATCACATTCTCTTTGTTGTGTCTGAACAGAGATTGATTATCTATTGTTAAGTCAGTCTGCCAGCTTAAAAGCATATGGGACACAGAGAGTTTGTCAAAAGAACATTGTCTGGTAACTTCACTGTGTGTTTTACTAAACTGTATGTGTTGTGTTATATGTCTTTGCATGTTTAAAACATTATTTTAAACTGCATGTTAATTTGAGGTTTTAGATTAAGACCTGAAGTTTGCAGTGCACAGCAGAGCACATAGCTTTGTATCTTACAGGGCATTGTTTGATTTTAAAATACTCCTACATTCTTTTTTGTGTGTCTATGTAAAAGAGGTAAGTAACATTTATTTAGTCAACCTAAAAGCCTTTTGTGTTATATAGTATTACAGTCATATTATATTCTAAAAGAGGGAACTGTTGCAGGCTGCCTATGAAACATGAAGTGACATTGTTGGTGGTCAGACAGATGAAGCCAATGGGGAAGTTGATCATAAGATACTACTAAAAATAGTACAGTATAACTTCAGCCAACTGCAAACAGAATATGGTTTATGTGCATGCACGTGAATACAAAGTGGGACTTCAAGAATGAGGCAAGTAAACTGTCACCAACCACATACTGGTAGTCCTCTGATGGTGTTTGGGTGAAAAAAGAAACACCCTTAAATTGTGTTATATAGCACTTTCTGCACACTGCTGCACACTCAAAGCACTTTACACAATTTTCCATTCACCTATTTGCACATTGGTAACAACACTGGGAGCCACTTGGGGTTCAGTGTTTTGCTCAAGGGCACTTCAAAATGTGGAATGGAGAGGCTAAGGATTGATCCGCCTCCCCTACAGCTGGGGAACAACTCTCGCTCCCTCCCTCCTAAGCCACAGTGCTTTAAGACTTTGGTAATTAGTATCAGGAGAGAGTTTGCACATTATGTTTGAGAGGTCCATGTACTTGAATATCAGGCTGGGAGTCTCCACTTAACTCGGCATGTGTGACTTTTTACCTTGTGTAACATGTCAAATGACATGTTACACAAGGTAAAATGTCAAAACAAACCAGCTGGGCTGCTCTGTGACACAAATAAATATTGCACTATCACAAAGAGGGCACCGCTATTCCAGTTCAAACACTTAAAGAGTTTGGTTTCATACTAACAGAAAAAGAGCTAGTAAGGTGGGTGGGGGTGAGATAGAAAAAGAGAGATTAAAAAAGATTAAACAAACACATATGGTGTGGTGCCTGAGAGGGGAACAAGTGGCTGCTTCCTCTGCAACAAGAAGTGCAGGCTGTATAGGAAACATGCTATAGCAGCCTATAAATACCATTTCAGTGACACAGACGCCACCAGCGGCCTTGACCCAGATTTTATTTGCTCACTGTAATTACTACAAGGTGTCAGAGCAATATAAGGAGTGGTATAATATAAAATTAATTGTGTTTATTTTAAGTCAACAGAAGCAAGCAGCAAACACAACACTGACATGTCTCAACAAGGAGAGCTCAAACAAAAGATGTAATGAAGAGGCAATGCAGTTAGACTTCACTGATCTGAAGCATTATTATTAAGGATAAGCCCATATGAAGATACTAGATGGGACAGGATCCTCCAGAGTCCAGACGCTGGTGGTAGAGTAGAGCCAGCAGGTGTCTGATGGAAGCCTTAGACACATCCTTGGACATTATGTGGTTACGATGGTGATAGAGAACTTTTAACCTGTATAGAGACGAGGCAGAACATGAGCAAAGAGTTCTTCTTTACTGAACGTTTATCACCATATAAAGCTGATATTATGTACTTACTAACTAAGATTTGTCATAATTATCTCTCAGAGAAGACACATCATCTGTGTTATTCTGTTGTACTGGTGTCATTATTATCCACATAAAAGATCAATAAATCTTAGTCAGCCATTTTTGACCCACTAATAATGTAAACAACATGTCTACAAACACACAGGAAATAAATACAGTAATTAAGCTCAGGATATAGCTGAGAGCTGAGGTTCCCACAAGTCAGAATGAGCACAGCGGCACTGGGGTTTGTTGTTGTAGATCAAACACGTAAGTGTTGACTGCCTGCTGGTTCTTCCTGCTCTCACACCATTAAAACATAGGTGTGAAGCCACATTTCCACAGCTCTGATTCTTATCCAGAGCAGTTGTACCAGCTGTGTTTAAACAGACAGGAATTCTCTGAGCCGCTGAGGTGCAGTAAAACAGCAGAAAAGTGCTGTCAGTGACGTCTATCTGTCCAGTGTCCACCACAGAGAACGTCACGCAAAACAAAAGGGGAAACCTTGAAAGTACCTTCAGTCTATTGGTACATGTGAAGAGCAGTGCAGTAGAATTACAGTATGTAATACAAGATGTAAGATGTGATAACAAGGTAACTTGGCTATATCACCTTAATGCTGGCTTTACGTTTATATGAAGCGACAACAGTGAAGGCATGCTCCTGTGGCCACATGCCTTTTATTATAACAATAAATTACAACAGAATTACTGGCCAAAGCTCTTTATTCAGCTTTAATTTTATGCAGTATTCCCCAGTAATTTCTGGTCATTCATAAACAACAACTACTTCGTATGATATTTTTCCAGATTTCCTAGAAATGTATTCATATTACTACATAGTTAACTGCCTGTAAATTAATGGGTCACCCAGAATTTCTCTTAAGTTGCTCATACTCTGTTTAAAAATGTTCTTTTGTCATCCAGAATATCCATATTGTAAATCTATTATGCTGACTTATTTTGTACGCATGACAATGAACAACATCTGTTTGGCTGGAAGAGGGATCCTTCCTCTGTTCCTCTTCCTGAGGTTTTTCCTTTGTTTTTGTTTTTCCATGAATTTTTTTGTGAGGGAGGGTCCTCACAAAAAGGACAGAGGGTGTTGTATGCTGTACAAACTGTGAAGCCCCTTAAGGCAAATTTGTGATCTGTGATATTGAGCCATACATATGAAAACTGATATGACTTGAGTTTGAAAGTAAATTTATCAGTGAGCTATACTTAATCACTGGAGTAGCCTTTTAATATCAAAATAACATATTGTATTGAGTTAGGGGTTTCTTTTCACACAAAATGAACAGGATGAATGATGTACAACAAATGAATGAGTGAATCTTCTCACCTGAATTTCTCCCAGTCATAAATATGGCTCCTCCCGCCATAAATTCATTTCTTTCTTTTTCTTTTTCTTTCTTTAATGTATGAAAAACAACAAGCTGCCTTGAAAAAAGTCACAGAATAAAATATTCTTGTGGTAAAACAGCAACTTCACAAGCTTTCCAAATGTTTAATGGTGTCATTCAAGAACACTTGATGCATCTACTGATCCAGAAGGCAAAAAAACCTGCTATGGTTGTTTGTATATAATACTCCAAAGAGGATGACAAATGGCACAAGTGGGGAAAAAAGGATGGGCAAAAGAGTAGAGTGAGCGAGGAAAATGTGGACAAATGAAAAATGAACAGCAGAGCACAAGTGTTACACAAGGGGGAGACAACAAAAGAAAGGAAACAGAGAGAGCGTGATGATTGAGGAGGCAGAAGGGGAAGTGATGAACAAGAAGCGAGAGGGGATGAACGAGAAAAGAGGGATGAGGTAGAAAGAGTGACAGAGGAAAGAAAAGGAGAGAGGGCAAATGATGAAAGACAGGAACAGGAAGAGCGACAGCGACAATGATGAGAGGAGTAAAAGGGGGAAGA